GGTCACCAAAACTCCTTCCATCGCTACTGAGACGATCGGACGGACATCTTCCTGGATCTCTGAGTGGACGCCCTTCGGTCTGGTCGCCTCCTACTACGTCTTCTCGGTATGCCTCTACATGTACTGCAGCAACGGGCTTATTGCCATCTTCTGGTTCATATACATGTGCACCAACTTTTACATTGCCGGCACAACTGTCTTGGAGGCCTTCTTCAGTATCACGCCCTGCCGCGAGGCAAGAGCAATCGTCACGCAAGCGCAGGAGAAGCAGTGGCTATTCCCTACGCCACACCACAAGCTACCCATCCTGGATCTTCTCATCGTCGCCTACCTACCCAATGAGCAGGACATCATCATGGACCGCGCTCTTTATGCGCTTGAACAGCTCGACTACCCTTCTGACAAGATCCGCATCGTCGTCCTCTACAACACCCCCAAGCCAATCGAGCCATTGGAGACTGAGCTGCACCAACTTCCTCTGCGCTTCCCCCATGCAAGAGTCATCAAGGTACCCAACTCGACTTCCAAGGCAGACAACCTCAACTACTACTTCACGCTGGACACTGGATCTGACATCATCGCCATCTACGATTGCGACCACTACCCTCACCCCAACTCACCCCGATGGGCCGCTGAACGATTCGTTGCCGAGAAGGATGTCGACATCGTCCAAGGCCGCTGCATCATCTTCAACTCCGACGACAGCTTCATGACCAACATGATCGCAGTCGAGTTCGACAAGATTTACGCTGTCTCTCATCCCGGCCGTTCTACTATGTGGGGATTCGGTCTCTTCTGTGGATCCAACGGCTACTGGCGCACGTCGCTTCTTCGCAATCTGAAGATGGACGACACAATGCTTACTGAAGACATCGACTCTGCACTTCGCGCATTCTCCAAAGGTGCCAAGACCGTCCATGATCTCAACGTGACTTCCTACGAGCTGGCCCCCACAACCTTCAGCGCATTCTGGAAGCAACGTCTGCGGTGGGCTCAGGGCTGGGCTCAAGCTAGTATGCGACACATGAAGATGGTTTGGAATGGTGTCAAGGATCCGTTGCACGAAGAGCACGCCAAGCGCAGCTTCACTGCTCGCTTCGGTGTTTTGTCGCTATTACTCATCCGCGAGTCCTCGTACTATCTCGTCACACAGTACACGTGTTTAGTCGCATCATTCGTTATCGTCAAGTTCCCGACGTCCGGGGAGGAGCTCTGGAAGCTGGTCTATTTCCAGTACCCCGTGTCACAGTGGCTTTTCATTATCAGGTTCGTACAGCCCTCGACGTAATCTTGTACCTTGCTAACAGTGTCGTGTCACAGTATTGTCTGCTTGATTGCTACTCTTTGGATCACCAACCAGGTCAAATCCGAGTACATCTCCAGAAGGATGATCATCCTCTTCTCAGTTCTGTACCCGTTTTACCTGGTTCTCAACGCCACAATCGGTCTTTACGGCCACGCTCGCCAGCTTGTCAAGTACAGCTCCTGGAACCCAACTGCTAGGAAGTAGGGCCATAACATATTATCTTCTTAATTTTCTTTATTGTCAATATCATAGGGAAGGGGCACAAGGCTTTGGATGCACTCGTTTAGTTCGGGATGAAGCTCGCAAGCCATTAGCGGCGGCTGAGGCTTTCATGAATCATGCATCAGTATATAATACCCGATTAATTACATCATAATCACTATTACTACACATTATTTCTGCACATCTTGACATGATGACCGTTGTTGCAAATAAGGTTCTTCGAGGAATGACGCGCTCTTCTCATTTACCAATGATCATTGTCCATCGATTGACTCTGTTGTCCTGGCTCCTGAGTGGTCAACATGTGAAACTCGATCTATGAGATAACGCGCGGCATCACAGCGGAATGCAGAGCATCAGCCTTATCCCGGGCGACTCACGTCGGCGATACGATTTCCGATCTGTCACGCACAGTCTATCACGGAAGGTAAACTCAGAGATAAGTAAAATCCTAGCATGAAGCAGGGCCGAAGGGCAGCGCCTTACTGAAACGGACCCTGCACCCTGATGCGTTGCCAGAAAGCATCGGCCTAGCGACATGAAAAAGGAAATAATCAACAGCATCAGGGGTGGCCGGGACATTACAAGTCGACTATGCGGGCGATCGACACGCGCTCGCTAGCGCGTAGATCCACTTCGCAAGTGTGCGTTCCCTAGGCCGCGTGGGATGCTACCTACCACACTACACCTGGCGGGTAGCACAGCATCGTAGGCCGGCGGAACCATCCGCAAACTTGCTAGAAAAATTCGACACGGCGTTATCTTCGGTGAGTAAGATCTGTTTCAGCGGGCTTTTGCTCTCCGGAACGCGGACCTTCCTTTTTTGGTGTGAGCACACGAGTCAGCCCCTCGGATTTTGGAAAACGTGCGGATTTCACGACCCTTCGTGGCCTATCGCACGGATGTTCGGTATGAAAATCAATGTGCACGGACGGCCGCAGTTGACATGGCGGTCACTGACAGGTGTAGATGCCCAAGTAGGGCTGCCCCATGCGCCACACGTGGAAGGTTCTGAGGAAGGCCGTTGCCCGGCGGTACCTGGGTGTTGAGAGATCAGGGTGCTTTTCATCGAGCACGTCACGACGTGCGTCTGGGATGTGTATGTTGAAGACGGCAACGTTACAAGTCGGCAGGCCGACATTTCAACATCCGAGATCAAGATAACGATCAACAGCCGCCCGCTTCGTGTAAGTGGTCCGGATGCCAGAAATGCGAACTATTGTATGCCGCCAAAGTTACCCGCTGCCAGCCTCAACTAGGGTCAACGCTTATCGAACAACTGCTCAGCGGGACGTAGAGAACGCCACAAAAAGCATAGCTGACCCTTGGCATGCATGCGCCTGAATTGTGCTCGGAAGCTTGCGTTGCAACTAAGCTCAACGCTTCCCGTGCTCGGTAGGCAGATGCTGTGCTAGTCACGGAAAGAAAAGTCGCCTTCAGGTACGTGGTCGTTCTGGTGGCCAAGGTGCTGATCTCGGGTCTCCCACGGGGGGTCTTTGGTACGGGACGTGGTGCTACTGCCGCAAGTAGTCGCCAAGGGTCGTGCTGGTTTTGTTGTCTGTGTGGAATCAGAAGTCGAGGGTAAATTGCCTTGTTTGTAAGCTGCTCTTCCTCTTTATCACCGAGATCCTCATCTTTACCGCGGTATCGAACAAGATGTCTGCAACAATGGAGCCTACCCTTTCATCCAAACTCAAGGCTATCTTCCCCTCGTCGTCGGCCGAGCAAGGAACGACAACCCTGTCGGCTGACCAGAACTATCTCATTGGGCTTCGTGGCCTGTTTGTATTCCAATCATTCCTCTACGTGTTCTTCCAGACCTTTCTTCCAGCCGCCCTTCCAGACTCGAAGAATGTTGATGGCCCGGCGTACCAGGTCGCACTTCGAAAGTCATTTTCAGTAATCTTCGCCAACGAGGCATTGATCTACTCATGGATCATCTTCCTCTCCGCACGAACTATCTGCTTACCTTACCTCGCCAACAAGACGCGTGAGGTCGGCGCATCGAGTGTCTTTCGTCGTGGCATCAGACTATGGATTCCGACTTTCATCGCCTACTCTTTTGCAGCAGCGGCATTCAGCACAACCTCGACCGACTACATCTCCGACTTCTTGGCCTCTACTGGCAATATCTCCACCATCGCACCGACGCGGATCCAGAACTTCTTGATTTACTTCAACTCCCTTTTCGAGATCTTCTGGGTCAACAAGCGTTACGCTAGTCAAGCCGCCAACGATGTCTTCCCATCTGGTACGCTTTGGATAGTGTCCGTGCTCTTCCAGCAAAGTTATACCGTCTACATCACCATGGTCATTGTGCCGAATACACGCACCTCATGGCGAGTAAAGGCTATGCTAGCTTTCATCGTAGCAGCGTTCTGGGTACAGAGCTGGGCTTGGTACAGCGTCACCGGCCTAATCATTGCTGATGCGGTCCTCAACATGGACTTCAAGGCCCGGTCCCAACGAGGATTCAAGATCGGCAACTTCGGTATCCCAGTCTGGCCACTTTATGCTGCGATGGTCCTTACCGGTGTTGTGCTGCAGTTCGCCTTCATCTCCGGAAAGCCAGACATGCGCGACAATGAGCTATGGGGTCACACCGCGCTGTACGATGACGGATTCTTGAACGAGAACGTAGATCTAGACCAGCCGATGGCGAGGGTTGACAACTACCTCATCATCCTTGGGTCGATGCTTCTGATTGAGACGTTCGAATTGCCCCGGGCTATCCTTCGCGGAGGCTTCTTCGTTTCGCTAGGCAAGAGGAGCTTCAGTAAGTCGCAACTCTTCGACAAAGTTATGGAACAATTACTTACACATACCAGGCTACTTCCTCGTCCAATCCATACTCATCTACACCGCCGGTATCAAGTTATACACGCACATGGCCGACGCCGGCATGAACGGTTCTCTGAGCACTTTTGTCTGCTTCTTGGTCTGCGCACCGCTGGTCGCTATAGTGGGAGAAATTTTCTACCGTGTTGTTGATTTGCCGAGCATTATTCTGGCTAGAGGATTTTGGGCGTTCATGACGAAATAGGTGGCGGCAACGGCGCGCTACCGGCACGTGGTTCGGGCCATCGTCAGCCACATTTCTTGACATCTCGCTTACCAGCCGCGCAGCTTGTCTCCTCATTCGCACTGCTCGGGGAAACATTATCCGTCACATCGCCCTTGCACAAGACATTTGGCGAGAAGCTCACTGGTCAACAAGCCTTTCTCCATAGCTCGGCATGCTCTTTGGAGATATCCCCGCAGCATTGGTGATCCTTCGAAACTTCCCCGCAATGTGGAGAGACCTTAGCCTATGAACATTGGTTCGGGAAGATGTACGGTTGCTTGGACGTGGGCGTTACACTAGCTAGATCCTTCGATGTTGTTAATCTGTATTCCATTTTCTGTTCGCATTCTTCTCCTGTTGCTGCCGTGAAAGCGCATTCTACTGTGACTAGTTTACCAACCAGCCACAATGGATAAGCCCAAGGAAACAGACACTGAACGCATCGAAAAGGCAATCACGCTGGACGAGACGATCGACACAGCCCTGGACAAGCGTCTGAATCGCAAGTTTGACCTTCGTATTCTGCCTTGGTTGTTCGGGATATGGTAATCTACTACTCCACACCGTTCAAGGCCTATACTAAGTGAGAATTCTAGGCTCTTCTCGTTCATAGACCGCAGCAACATCGGCAACGCAAGGATAGCCGGCCTGTCTGACGAACTTTCCATCACAACCGGTACTCGGTTTAACATCGCCCTCCTCGTATTCTACATCCCGTACATCCTCGTCGACGTACCGTCTAACCTACTCGTTAAGCGTTTGCGGGCCGGGATATACCTACCAGCTCTGATCACGGCATGGGGTCTGGTGTGTACATTCATGGGCTTCGTGCAGTCATTTGCAGGGCTGGTGGCATGTAGACTGTTGCTGGGGTTATGTGAAGGAGGCATTCTCGGTGGCGTGATCATCTACCTTGCGATGTTCTATAGGCGAGGCGAGATGCTGCTGAGAAGCGGTCTCTTTTATTGCGCCGCGCCTCTATCTGGGGCTTTTGGTGGACTGCTCGCTTCGGGACTGGCAACCATTGAGGTTGGGGGGTATCGAAGATGGCCCTGGATCTTCTTTAGTAAGTTCTCGCTAATGTTTCACGTAGTGGAGGTGTTGCGCTGACATGATCTCAGTCGAAGGCGCAATCACTGTTGTGTTCGGCATCGTATGCTTCTTCTTCATGCCGGATACCCCTGCCGCAGCAGCATTCTTGAGTGATGAAGAGAAGGAGTGGGCATTGCGACGCATGAGGCTTGACGCAGGAGGATCCACCGAAGTTGATGTCGACGATGAGAAGTTCAGTTGGTATTGGGTCAAGATGGCACTCAAAGCCCCGCAGACGTACCTTTCTGCTTTCATCTGGTTCTTCTTGTTGGTTCCGCTCTATGTAAGCTTTTTCCGGATCTCAAATGCCGGAGACTATGCTAAAGCTTAACAGAGCTTTTCGCTGTTCCTTCCTAGTATCATTGCCGGCATGGGCTATCAAAGCACCACCGCGCAGCTCTTTACGGTACCACCTAACATGGCTGCTTTCATCACGGTAATTGGCACGGCGTACGCCTCCGACAAGTTGAAGAATCGTGGTTATTTCATCATAGGAGGTTGCGTGATAGGGATATGCGGTTACGTTATGTTGATAGTGGCGACGACGAATGCCGTGCGGTACGCCGGGACGTTCCTGGTCGCGATTGGTGTCTTTCAGGGTTCGCCCATGCTCATGGTAAGCTTCGCTTGCGATACGAAATGATGACTTTACTCATCCGTCATCAGGGATGGGCATCCAACAATCTTGCGCCTCACTATGTCCGCGCAGTCGGAGTTGGTATGGTAATCAGCATCGCCAATTGCTCGGCATTCATCGGCACGTTTATCTATCTTCAGCGTGATGCGCCGAAATATGTTTTAGGCCATTCTGTAAGCCTTGGTGCATTGGTAGTAACGATCGTACTCGCCGCCATACAGTGCTGGTACCTAGGTTGGGAAAACAGAAAGCGAGAGAGAGGTGAACGCGACGATAGACTCCTGCGAGCGGATGCGGATAGACTTGGCCATCAGCACCCTAGTTTCAGATTCACGTTGTAGCCGAGAGGAAGTGGTAGCCAAAAAAAGCCTTGGTGATGGTCCAGGGTGGGAGCTGATACGAATACTACATTAGTACGTCATCTGACAGACAAACGTGGAGAAGTCTGCCGCCTAAGACATTGTGACAGAGCAGAGTGCGCTACCCCTGAGTCACTTGGCTTTCTTGTTGTCTCTTCCCCCAATCATGCCCTTTTGCTTTGTAGTATTTTTCTTCCACGGTGTCAGACTGCCGCCTCCAGCCACCCAGCCGATTGCCATGACGATCAACGTGAATGGCACGGCCGTCAGGAAGTACCAACCATACGTCGTCTTCAATGCTGAAACACTCTCGTTCATGCTATACAGCCCAGATATGAACGTCAACGGGATAAAGATGGTCGCCAGCCATGTTATCCTCGCCATGTTATGGTTCTCCTCGAGCCCGCGACGCGAATCTTCGATGGAGATCTCCGATGTGACAATACTAGTCAGGCGGTCGACTCGCTCCTGCAGTTCATTGACAGCGGCAAGAACGCGTTTGAAGTCAGGCACTATGTCCTCGAACCCTTCTACATTGTCGTAATTTATAGTCAGGTTGTCGGAAAAGAGCGAGCGTACGGAGAGAGGTGATGTGGGCGCAACGGAGGACTGAGTAGACGGGGTAGTAAGCCGCGCTGCAGCCGGAAGCGCATGTTCCAACGTCTCCGTTATCATCTCCCGAAACACTGGGATCTGCCGACGCCAGGTATGCAGACGCTTGAGCGAAGTGTCAATGGCATCACCTTTCGAGCGGAAGAGGCGTGGCATCTCGAGTTCCCACTCTATCTGGCTGAGACGAGCTCTTACATAGTCGCACACTATGAGCCACTCTGCGCAGATGGTGTATATAGTTGGTTTGGCGAGGACTTGCGCGTTAATCTCATTTCCGTCTTTCCGCTCAAACCACGGGAAGGCAGTCGTCATTTGGACAATGTCTTCGAACCAGGATACTGAAGACTTGATTGAGGGGTAAACTTTGGTGTCCATCTTCGGTGTTGGCAACCAATTACTGCGATCATACCCTTTACAGTGTCAGTCAATTCAGTACCTCAGCTACTGTCATTTTGTTGGTACTTACAGAGTGGCCGGCCTTGGCTAACAGTTGGATCTAGCAAGACGATACCGACGGTTCCATTACCACACTTCTTGTCCTTGCCGATCCACATGGATGTACGCGTGCGCATAATGGACACGACTGCTCCCTTTCCATCTTGGTAATGCCAATGGTTCTCATCGTTATCAGGCCGTCTGAGCACGTTCCAAGAGTTTGCTTCCAGCCTCGAGTTGAAGTAGTCCTCTTCTGTTTTGTGGTATCGTAACCTCATATTGCGCATCCTGAACCAGGGCCGATGCCTCATGCTTGAGACTAGGCTGGGTGGTGACGCCCAGGGGTCACGAGTGTTGTGCCACACGTAGTCATCGATCTGCTCTCGAAAGAACAATGGATCTATATCGAAACGCGCTCCCAGCAGCTCAATGACTTGTCGAGACAGGTCTTCTACTATAAAGAGGCGCAGGGGAGGTTCTTTCGTATGCTCAAGCGACAGAGCTTGAAGAGTTTCTTGAAGCAAAGCAGGCGATTTAATCGCTGTAGCTTTTGGTGCAGTGGCAGGACGATACTCGACGAAGGTGACGTTTGTCTTATTCGCACGGGTTTCGCGTTCCTCTGGGTGCTCTTTGATCTCATTCCAGCGTAGTGGGGTAGTGCTAACCTGCATCCAGTCCGCTAGATGTCGTAAAGTCCTCCACGAAGTCGACAGCGATTTGATGTGCGCCAAATACGGCCGGCTCTTGCTGTTGCTGCATTACGTGAGTCTTGACCTGGAAGACTGTCAATGCTGTGAACTTACGGGTCCGGCAATTCCCACTCGTCTGCGACTGGTATCCTCTCGTATGCATCTCCAATCAATTCATATGGGTCAGGGAAGTCTGCACTGTGCGGAATATGTTTCGCAGACCAAAGTGCGGGGATCGTGCCTCTCTTGGAGGGTTTGCCATTGCTGTTGTCGGAGTAAGTAGACATGGTCGCTACCTAGGTACGGACACTGACAACGCGCAACCATGCCAGAGCGGGTGGCGAGATGGATTTATAGATGGACAGGCTGCAAGGCGATGTTGGGGGCTGAGGGCTGAGAAGGCTGAGACTCAAGCGCGACGATCTCTAGTTGCATCAAGGGGCTCGTACATACGCGAGGTTTCCAGCTATGTACACCCGCGCGCCTGTATGCGGGTGTGGAGAGCTAACAGATATGCCAGGCGGTCCATAATCTCTCTGCAGTCTTGATCGAGTAGATCAAGACGCGTCAAGAAGTCGTAGGGATATCGCGTTGGCTGAATCCTCGAATTTGGCGCGCCGTCAGCTGAAACGTGCAATGTCCAATTTGGGCTAGACGTGAAGTTGGGTCCGACAGCTGCAGACAGCAACAGGGCTAAGCAAGTCACGCGTCTAATGCCAGCTCACATTGGACCTTTCCAGAGATGACTGCATTACGCGACAGGCTACTGCGTTGTCGGAATATCGTTGGACTGTGTGGTATGCGCCTGGGGTTGTGATGTTGACTGCTGCTGTCACGAAAGTTGAAGAGGGAATGACTCCACGGGAGTGGTTCCACCGCAGCAGCGCCGCCTGCCATTTCGGTCTCCGGTCATTTCATTCCTCAAGAAACCAACACCCTATATCAGAGCATCCCTTTCAGTTCATCACACGGCATTGCCCCACGTGAAAGGCTATAATGGGGCGTTTCTGGGCTTACTCGCGTACGCGACGTCAGGATCAAATGTGGAGAGAACGCGGGGCGCGCAGTACACCTCGGAAGCCCCCAAGGGCCACAGAAACGCAACATTGGCGGGACACTTTTGCGTAGTCGCGCCCATGTCTCGATATCTTGCAGGAAATCATTAGTACTCTGCAAAACCTTTTCATTGGAATCTCGATATGACATACGGCATCTTCAAACCTCACTGGTCCAGATACCTAGGCCCTGACGCTCCCGATCCTGCCAAAGACACCTATCGACCTCACGATGAGGCTGTATTCTCGTCGCCATTTGGACCCTTTCCACCGACACCGGATGATCTCAACATTCACGAACTCTGCTTTCCGCCGAACAATCCATTACCCGAAGATTACCCTCTATTCATCAATGCTATAACAGAAGAGGTCGTCACACTCCACAGCTTCTATGCTCGAGTATGTGCATTGGCGCGTGTCTTCCGGTATGACGGACCAAATCCATTGGGTTTAGACAAGAGTCCCATAGACGACAAGGAAGATGGCGAGATCCTAGCGCTATTCTCGCGAAACCACCTGCATTATCCGATGGTAGCGCACGCATGCTTTCGATCAGAATTGGTCTTCGGGGGTATCAGTCCGGCAAGTACACCGTATGAGCTTTGGTGGGTGCTCAGGAAGATGCAAATTACCAGCATCATGTGCCATGAGACACTACTTCCAGTCTTGAGAGAGGCGCTCAAGCTAGGAACCGGTGAATTCGATGATTTGCCACTCAAGCTCAAGTTGAATCCCAATAAAGTCATCGTGCTTAGCGACAATTCTCAACTAGATACCGTGTCGGGATATCGTACGATCGAGTCGCTCGTGAGGGAGGGTTCAAAGCTGCCGGAGCAGCCGCGGAAGCTGCTTGGGGGAAACCGAATGGCATATCTATTCCAGTCTTCAGGAACTTCGGGTCTACCAAAGGCAATGATGATCACACACAGTAATGGTTACCACTCGGGAATACAGACGCTTATCACTGCCACGCAGGCCGCGCGCTTTGCAGGAGACGAACCGTTGACACCCGTTACTATGCTGGGCGTCATACCAATGTACCACTCATACGGTATGATCATCTGGATCCTTCGCGTCAATATGATCAAGCAGACGAGTATCATGCTGCCGAAATGGAACCTTGAGCTTGCTTTGAAAAGCATACAAAAGTACAAGATCACACATCTTCCACTGGTACCACCTCTAGTTCGCCAACTCGCCCAGAGCCCGTTGACTGAGAAGTACGACCTGAGCTCTGTGATCGGCGCGTCGAGCGGCGCTGCATATCTGCCACCAGATGTCGCATACCAACTGGCCAAGAAGCTGCCTCAAGGTGCGGGGATGCCGGTGCCAAGTGGCTATGGTCTGAGCGAAGCAGCCAGTATCGCGAGCCCGGCTGCGCATGGCATATTTGGATTGGAGCCTGCACTACCCGGCATGATCGGTTATCTGCTACCGGGTATGCAAGCTCGGATTGTAGACCCTGAGACACTCAACAATGTGCCCAAAGGCGAGAAAGGCGAGCTCTGGGCGCGCGGAGCAGTCGTCACCCCTGGATACTTCAG